TATTTTTTCTTTTTAATGTATTTAAATAAAAGCTTGTTTTTAAAAAGTTTTTTTTCTTAAATTTATTTTTTACCTTTTAAGTTATGCTGGTTTCTCAGTGCCACACACTTAAACTCAATTCTTTTTCTAAATATCTACTTCTAACTAAATAACTCTTCTTTAAATAACTACGTATGGGCATCCTAATAATATGTGTATCGATTTTCATAAAAAAGGAGAACTTAAAAAAACGACAGCTGTCAAATTTTACAGTTCAATTGTGAGACAAATAAAATGAAAACCGACTATGGGGTAGGGAGCATCCAATATATCGATTTTTATCAAAATCGGACAACTTTGAGATTTTTTTGACAGCTGTCAAATTTGACAGCTCAATTTTTTTTCTTTCCTTTTAACCCATGGCCATCCTATATATAAATTTTTATCAAAATCGGACAACATTGAAATTTTTTTGACAGCTCAATTTTTTTTCTTTCATTTTAGCCCATGGCCATCCTATATATCGATTTTTATCAAAATCGGACAACTTTCAATTTTTTTTGACAGCTGTCAAATTTGACGGCTCAATTTTTTTTTGACGACTTGGCTTTTAAAAATATAGCCAAACATTTATATTTAAATTCATCAGTTACTTTTCTTCCTTTAGCTGATTTGTTAATTTGTGCAATTTGAATATTAACAAAATATGTCCATTGATGGACATAATTTGTACGTAGCCTCTTTAGATTGTTCAATAGATAATTTATTGGGTATTTCTTTAATTCTTGTTTGTAACTCCTGGACTCCTCCTAATTTTAATTGTCTATTCTCGAAAGTTAAATGTTTAATTGATTTTTTCATTTTTACTTTTTTAGGAGTATGCGCGGTTGACGATTCATTTGTTTAGATAAAAGTATTGTGTAAATAAAATTCAGTTTCAGTCAATTACAGTATTTTTTTAATACGACCCTGTCTAGCAATAGTTTATTTTCTGGGAAATTTTTTGATACGTTTTAATCCGGCCCTGACTCGGCACCCATAATGGTGTTTTCAAGGTCAAATTTTATAGAAATTTTAAACAATGGGATCTGGGCAGAGTTAGCCTGCCGTGTGATTTATATGCCGTGCTGTAACTATGGTAATATCAGAGATTAAGAATTTATACCGTTAGAAAATTTGCGGTGAACAGGCAGTTCTAAAAAGTTTTCGAAAAATATACAGAGAAATTTAAAAGAAAATTCACGATTTTCAACATCTTTTTTTTGCGAAAACCTCATAGACGTGTTCCTGGGGTCAAAATATACTACCCCTGAAAATATTTGCACTTATTTAAGACTCACCCTGTATAATAAATACACCTTAACACCGTTTCCTTCTGTATTCCGTCAATCATTTTTTTTATATCTTGTATTTCATTTTCTTCGCCGTAGGCCATGCCTCAAGTTTAATCACCCTGTACAAACAGAATTCAGTTCAAATGACAAAAGTTCCAGAAAAATGACCCACAAATCGAATTGAATTATTAATAAAACAAACGTTTTTATTGCCTCGTATTTCTTGTTGCTATTTACCTGTGGGGAATGTGAATAGTATATGACCCCGAACCCGAAATCAGTCAGCTAAATAATCGTTTATTTATAAAATTTATTTTTGGAAATTACATCAAATTTGTATATCTGCAGTAAAATGTTTAATAACTTTTAAAAAATTGTATAATGTTTGAATTTTATCTCTATACAAGATGTTTCAAAAAACATGTGCCATTGAGAGATCTTATTTTTTATATCAACATAGGTCCGATTCTGCTTTGTTTCGTAGCTACAGGGTGTTAAAGTCTTAATAATCTTTCGGTATACTATAATTTTCTTCCAACTGCTTTTAGTGATTTGAATTAAATTTTGAGGATAAAAGTGACTATCAGTGCTAAGTGTCGATAAATTAATCAGAGACGTGCATATGGGTTATCACTGGAATATTTTTCAAAGAAAATACATGTGCGCCACTGACTTTTTACTTACTTTTACTTACTCACAAAATTTCATTCGAAACGCTACAAGTACTTGGAAGAAAATTATAATATATCGAAAAAATATTTTAATACTGACCTTGACTTTAACACCCTGTAGCTACGAAACAAAGCAGAATCGGACCTATGTTGATATGAAAAATAAATCTTATTTTTACGTAAGAAATCTCCCCACGAGAGATGGCACATGTTTTTTGAAACACCCTGTATAGTGTCACATAACGCCCGCATCATATGGAACTTTATTAATTTATTGACTTAGGTGAAATTGGATTTCAGTAATGGTTTCTGCTTTGATTTATATTAAAAATGATATCAGAAAACTTTGCTTGTTACAGTTGAGGGTTGGAACCTTTGGTGTTACACAGCAAAATAAAAACACTAAATCGCCACAATACACCAAAACACTTTTACTTTTACACTGGACGCGCGTTTCGCTAACCATGTTGTTGAACATAAAATGGCTAGTTTAAATTTCTTAGTTCATAGATTACTTAGTTTCCCACTTTCCAACGAAAGATATGAAATAGAAAGAGATTACATTGGGAATGTAGCTGAGTGTAATGGATATTCTCCTTCACTAGTTGATAAATTAATTAGAAAACGTAGGTATAGGTTAATGATTTCTGAAAATTCGACTTTTCAAGTGGAGAAAGATACGTCTAAATATTTTTCGATACCGTTTGATAGAGAGTTATCCCGTGGTCTAAAAGGAATTTTTAAGAATGTCAGTTATAAACTTGTGTATAGTGCTAATAATAAATTACAACAATTATTAGGTAATCCAAAGGATAAAACACCTCCACTGGAAAGATCGGGTATTTATGAAATTTCTTGTAAAGATTGTAATCAGAAATATGTTCGGCAAACTAGAAGATCAATATTAACTAGATTTAAAGAACATTTAGCTCAGGTAAGATACGGTACACCGGATAAATCTTGCGTTGCCGAACATATTGTTGATAAACAACATTGTATAGATCTTAATAATTTAAAATTAATTAAACAAGTCTCAAATTACAGGCAATTAGATGCATATGAAAGCATCAGAATTAATAAATGTAAAGATAGTATGAACAGAGTCAACGGTCCAATTCCTTCAAGTTCTTTGTTCCTACTACTCTAGTGGCGGAAATCTAACTGTTACGCTCAGTTGGCACTGACTCGGTTGACTAGATTTTGCCACGCCCACTCGGTGCCCACTGAGCGAGTATATAAACGCTCAACTTGTAGATTGTACTTTAGTTTATAATCATCTGCTGATGATGCTAACATGGTTAGCGAAACGCGCGTCCAGTGTAAAAGTAAATAGTGTTTTTATTTTGCTTTGCTTGTTGCTCTCTGGTATCTGTCAAATTTGACATTTAAAGTAATAAATGGCTAAAAAATTGATTTCTTGGTTGAATTTCGAAGAATTTTATTTGAAACAGTTGCCTCTTCTCTAATTTTACATGACAGTATTTAATGCAAATTTTCAACCATCAAGATGAAAACTGTTTTTTTAACCAAATAGCAGCCCATTCTCATGATAGAAGCAAAATTATTGATAGGAGCCCGTTTGCCATCATTCCTGTATATACATTTTGTGTTTGGAATTTCTTTAAAAATTAGACCAGCTAGAGTATTTAGTTAAACAACTTTTTATAATACGTTGATTTTAAAGTCATCGGAGTCGGAGACTATATAGGGCAGTGTCTGAACAAAACAATACTATAAGTACTTATTAGTACTAGGGCTATGAGAAATATATTTTAACATATAGTATTGTAAAATAAAAACACTAAAACACCACAATACACCAAAACACTTTTACTTTTACACTGGAAGCATCATCTGCTGATGATGCTAATAGGGTTAGCGAAACGCGCGTCCAGTGTAAAAGTAAAAGTGTTTTGGTGTATTGTGGTGATTTAGTGTTTTTATTTTGCTGTGTAACACCAAAGGTTCCAACCCTCAACTGTAATATAGTATTGTGAAAATAAGTTTCAGGCATGTACTAACATACATTTCTTGATGCCATCTTGATAAATGGGGATGCTATTCATACTTTGTACCACTTTAACCTAATTTTTAATTAAAATAAAATTTATCTTTTTTTAGCTTGCTAAAGTGATGAAAATTAAATAAAGTAAATTTATTTTTCTTTAAAATCTATTAATTGATTCAATAAACTTAACTGAATTAGTGTACTTATGTAAAATTAAAAAAGAAACAAAGCATTGGGTTAATACCAGAGAAAAATAAAAAACAAAAATAAAATGCTTGCCGATGGAATTCAAAAAAGTTACCCTCAGCTTTTTAAATTTTATACTGCTTAAAAAGAAAGTGCAAGATTTCTAATAGTCATCAAGACCAATACCAAGAGTGGCCCCTGCAAGACCAAGACTACTATTAGATTGCAAAAGGAGATCTTGGTCTTGGCTTTGCTCATTATTACATTTGAAGACTCCTCTGCTCCTGAACAGTGTTTAGCTGTGTTCGAAATTAAGTTACTCAAAATAATACCAATTCAATCTAACGCCTTGGATTTTTTTTGTTAGGAATATATTCCATAAAAAATAATTTAAATCATAGAAATTTATCTAATTTGAACTTAATTTTTCTTGCCCCTCAGATCTTGCTTTCGGTCATTCAAAAAATCAGTAATAAAATTGTTCAACTGAAAAATAGGTATCTAATTAGCGGCTTGCGATTTTTCCACAATAAACACAATGTCGCGCGCTAAAAGAAACGCACCGTATAAACAGTAGCAAAGTGAAGCCAAATGTATTCTTTAAAGAAGTATTGATTGAGACTAGAATTATTGAAAATAGATTAGAATAATCTTATGCAAAACGGTATAAAAACTTAAGAAGGGTATTTTTATAAATGTTGGCTGAATTTATTTTAAGCTACGGAATATATAATCAATACCGGTTATTTTATTAGTGAGGCTTTTATGTTTACTTTATATATACCGGCAAAATTTAGTTATCATATTAAAAAATGTACTTACTTATCGTTAAGAACAAGGTAATACCGGCAATCAAAACCGAACTAAATGCACTCCTAACCAACATTTCTTCACCCCTTGATCGCTGATTAGCAACATGCACGAAACACAAACTGTCGATCTGTATTTGAACACAGAATATCGCCACTGCCTTGAGACACACACAAATATTGAGTGTAGTTGTGTTATCACTTCCGAGCCAAGTAGAGCCGGATCGGTTTATGACGTAACAGTCACTGTCGCCCTTTCCCCGCCGCTGTGTGCTTCGCACCGTGACGTCATATCGGTGGATCAATGAAAAGGGATGAAGCCTTTGAGGGGTGAGGTCAAGGTAGATATATAAGTAATATAAGAATGTTTTGCGCTAGGTGTTTCTGTTCTATATAATATGTATTCCGATATAAGTTTATAAAATTATATTTATCTAAATTAAAAGTATGATTGAGATTAAAGACAAGGTCCGAACTGTATTCCGGAAACTTCGGCACCGTATTCTACAAATAAAAATAACTAAAAAAGTTCGTATAAATATATGTTCTAAATTGCTTTGTTTCGGAGATACAGGGTGTAGAAGTTTCATTTTTATTTCGATTTTTTCCAAATAATTTCTGAAGTAACGTCAATATTTGGATGAAAATTGGTGTCTGGAAGTTTTTTGACATGAGAAATTTGATTTTGATGTCAATATGACTCCTACTTGTATAGGGCGCCTTATTTTATATGGAACTCCCAGTATATTATCGGAATAATTATGATATTCCGATATTCAATGGGAGAATATACCTATCTTCAAAATACTATTAAGGTTGCACTCTTAGGCAAAGACATTCCTAGACATTTTCATTTTTATGATTTTGCGTCAGTAGATCTCGAGGTAGATCTTTATTATTTGATAAAATCTAGGTGGCTGTGATACACCTTTCGTTAATTTAACAAAAATTGAAGGATGTAAGGATGTAGAGTAAACCATTCAACGGCAATAAAAAAAGATACACGTTTAAAATATATTTTAATTGTTACAGATTCGGCGGCATATTCTGCAGATAAAAATGTAAAAAAGTTCCTATGTATGTCCTAAAATGCTTAGTTTTGGAGATACAGGGTGGTGAAGTTTCATTTTTATTTCGATTTTTTCCAAATAATTTCTGAAGTAATGTCAATAGTTGGATGAAATGATTGGTGTCTGGGAGTTTTTTGACATGAGAAATTTGATTTTGATGTCAATATGAGTCCTACTTGTAGAGGGCGCCACCTGCATATTTTTTAACTGGTTTGAAGAGTAATAACTTTTCGTCCGTACCTGTATAAAACTACTGGGCAAAAAGTATACATTTACGACGTTTTCTACGTAAAAAAAGTCTCTTGGTAAAAATCGCTACAAGTAATATTTCTCGATATATTTGGAATCGAAATTATCAATACCTGTCATCATTGACATAAATTAAACATGTTGACTAAATAGTTATTAGAATGAAATCGTAAATTTGAAATGTTTTTGTGCCAGAAGATCAACAGACACGGTTTTATTATCATTTTTTCGAAGAAAAATTTATGATTAATATAAAAAAATAAAAAGTTTCGAAATTTATCATTTTAGTCACATAGCTATCTACTCAAGTTGTTTATTTTTTTGTCAATAATGACATGCATTGACTTTTCCTATTCTACATATTAGTTTATACCGGATAATTTCCAATTTAGGTAGCTTTTATTGAAATTTAAAAATCCTTCATTTTTAGAAAATGTTATAAAAACCTTACACTTACTCAGTTTTACACTTGTCATATAATTCTTTAACTTCCCCTTATTTTTCTTCCAGAATCCAAAAAACAGTTAACATATAGGGTGTTCCATTACAAAAAAGTTACATTACACCATTACAAACTTTTTTTGAGGAGACACCTTGCAGAACTCCAAATTAACCTACATATACTCACAAAATTTTATTTCAATGCAAACTGTCGCTTCCCTTGGAGCCTCCGCGTCGTATGAGCGATGCCACCCAAGCAGCATTTGGACGTCGGGACAACGTTGTGTCACGCGACCAAACGTCGGGGCGCAACGTCGGCACAACCTCGTGCCGACCCTAGTCTGCACTAGTTTGGAGAAAAATTTTTGGGTCGAAACGACGTTGGATACCGACGTTGGCTAGAAGCCTAATTTAATACAAACTGCAACGTTGTTTAAAATCCTAATTCACAGAAATACAAAACTAATATGGCGTCTAAGTCGCGTTTTATCCTAAATTGGGATAATTATAGTAAAAATATTATTTTTATGATTTAGTTAGAGACATATGTCAGATGGCAGTGAAGGAAAACAAAACAAAAGTATTTAAGTGTGGAGGATGTTTGAAGATCATAATTATTGAAACACTTTAACCGACTCTGTAACTCGTTACCCAATGCAAAAAAGTTAAACGCAAACAACTTTATTGATAAATGTATTGTTTCTACTTTGAAAAATACTAATGGGCTTTAAAATTAAAAAAGTTTTAAAAATTTTCTTGAATTTTTTTTTTAGTAAAATGAGAATAATTTATCCGCAGTCGAAAAAATTGTTTCCGCGTGTTTTTTAGGGTCAAATATTTCAAGTTAATGTATTCAAAAAGCAGGAATTGCTATTTTAGGAACGAAACATTTTCTTATTTAACAACATGGCGGATTTCATTTTGTTGTTTTGGAGATTAAGATGGAGTAGTTCGAGTAGTCGCATACTGGACTAATAAAGTCGCAGTTCGGCCGTAACAGGTAGTATACTAGTCGCAAGATTGCCTAATTTAGTCATCCTAGAGTCTAGCTTGTGCCGCCCTCTAAAATCTAAATAAACGAGGGAGTGGATAAACTATCGGTAATATATGTCGATGTATTTTTAAATTTAGTTTTATATGTACCTTTCTTATGTCCCATTTTAATTAAGTTTTTTTTATAAAAACAAAAACAGCACTGAACTGTCTGACTGAACAGAACAGTGAAGTGAAAATTTAAAATTTAAGGTTATGGTTCAATACAGTTGCAAAAAGGTAGTGACTCGACGTCCTACCAACGTAAGAATAAGGAAATCTAAACAACGTTGGAATTAGTAAAACAGACGACGTATGCATAACGTTGGAATAGGTCCTGAAACTGACGTCGGAAAACTCTATATTGTCCAACGTTGTAACTACGTTGTCCGAATTACCTAAAGATCACTTAAGCAAAAAAGGTTACAAGACAACGTTTATTCGACGTCGCAGAAGCTTCTACTTTGCTGTAATACTAGTCCAACGTCGGCACAACGTTATAAAAACGTTTAAATTTATTTTAATACCCAAGGTAGGGAGCTAACTATTTTTTGTAACTAATCCAACGTTGTGTTTAGTAAACATGTGGTCGCAAGTCGTGAAAATGCTACTTGGGCACCCTGTACAAATTTCCATGCTTTTTATCTCCTTCCCCTCGTGTATCCAGGTTCATTTTTTAAATCTCAAAGGGATGATTTTCCAAAATACTTGTTTGGAAGTACAAACAAGTATTTTGGAAAATCTACCCTTTACATCATACGAAAAAGTAGTGATGTTTAAGAATTAATTAAAGTCATTTAAAAGAATTATTGTGCAATTTTTTCCGATCTTGATGGGTTCAATCTTATAGTAGTCCAAGGTTTAAGGTTTCAATATTAGGCGCACCCGAGATTTTTTGAAATTGATATTTCCTATCAATAAAGGGAATATTGTTCAGGTATTTAGCTTTATAAATATAAATAATTACCAGAACCATGATTACAAAAATAAAATTATAAGTAGTAGGTAAATTACACGAATAAAATATTTAATACTTATTTATTTAGTTCAATGATTAAAAAAACAGTAATATTTTACATAAATATAATATTCATAAAAAATATCTCTTTTAAATTTATTTTCAATAATATGTATTTGTAAAATAAAGAGGTAAATTCTATAGAATAATATTTAGAAAAAATAAGACATTGTAAATCAAATATACTTATATTATCAATTCTTCGTACATTGTAGCGTTGATTGAAAGAACTGGGAAGATGCGCAACCTAATGGGCAAATTCGTGACAAGGCTGATTTGATTTCCCCTTACGTCTCAAGTGATGTACAGTGGAGCCTTAACTCGTTCTGCGGCCAACGCATAAAACATTCATTTTTTCTAATTCAGTAGCGAAGGCATATATCTATGAAGGCTAGAAGGAGGAGGCGAATCGACAATGGGCATATTTGAAATTTCTGTCCCTACTTTAAAGCAAGTTTCTCGGTTTGACACCAGAGGCACTGTAAGTGGGTTAGATTGATCATTGTTGGAATACGATTTAACTGTGTTTTTACTAGTTTTTTTTTAATTTATAATTATTTTATTGAATTATTAGCAATGTAACAATGAGTGTGATTAAAAAAACCCTATATAATAGATCTTGCTTCGTACCTGGCTGTATAAGTGGGACTTACAGTGGAAAAAAGGCAAATAAAGAACGGGGTGAAGGAAACCCAAGCCTTTTCAAAGGTCCTAATGTAAGTGGTATAACTATTTATTTGAAAAAATATGGATAGATGTTAAGGAAAACATTTAAATTATATACTATCAGTTTACAGATTAATTTCAAATTCAAATTAATAGAGAATATAGCCTAAAATCAACATCTGCGTAACATAACCTAGAAGGCCTTGTTATAAAATAAAAATAATTTACCTACTAGCAGGTGGCTAAAATTAACAGTGATAACACTGATTAAAGGGTGCAATACTAGTGTTCTTCTTCACTTTCCATTGAAGTTATTCCTGATAAAATACTTTTAATTTTCGTGATTCAGTTTCTGTCAATTGCGGTAAAACCACTACTAGTTTGTTACGAAAGTTTTTAATGCTTATTAAAATGATATCACACCGAACTGCATGTAAACATATCAATTTCAAATGTTTTTATGAAAAACTATTAATAAATCACTAACACAATCATACCATAAACTATTTAATTCGCATTTGTCATCAAGAAACAATTACTGTTTACATCAAATCAAAGGATGAACTGATGATATTTGTTGCTGGAAATTCTATCTTTTTTGTACAACAGTTATAGGGAAGATTTATTTTAGCAGCTTATATTTTTCTTCGGTCGTGTATGCACTAAAAAGAACCATATAATGAAACAATTTTATAATAACAACTTAAAGAATATCTAACACCGGCATCTGATATAACCTAACTTCTGACTTACTTTTCAAACTCAAATTTAAGGTTTTGTATTCACAATTTTAGCCACGCACATTGTTCAATTAGGAAAAAACACGTTTCTAAAAGCTAAATCTAGTAAAAATATGCCCAAATATTAACTGAACTCTATAATTTCTAACAAAATAGTAATTCTTGCCATAAGAAGCTGTGTATTTCTCAATCTATCGGATCACATGCGCCCCTAACGGCGATTTTCGAACTTCATTTAGATCTCAAAAACTGGGCCCATAATTTTTGCGTTCGATTCGCCTCCTCCTTCTAGCCTCCATACATATATCGAAAGCCCCGTTCTCAGAACTGCTACTGTCGCCAGCGACACGACAAAAGAACCAATCAGATTTGTACAAAATTCAAACAGCTGTCAATTTTAAATTTAGTACAGCTCCCATTGGTTGTTTGAAATGTCAAACTGTGTCGCCCGCGACACGACGTTGTTCTGAGAACAGGACTGAAGACGGTGTAGAACTAAAAGCGACAGTGTTGCCATATTAAAATATAATACGAACTAAAAGCGACAGTGTTGCCATATATCTGTAATACGTTTGACAAAAATCTCTTTGGATGAAAAATCCGCGCTTATGTGTTGAAAATTTATTCGTGTTAAACATAGAATAAACAACAAAAATAAAAATTCTTGTATAGGTACTGAATATTTCGTATGATCGAAAAAAGTCGTTTAGTTGGCTTGAAAATGACGACTATTGACATTTACCATAATATTTTACATATGAAACAACAGCGATCTTGTTTTCCAAGCCAACTCTTATACCGTTCTTTGTTTAATCATACAATATTATACTAAATTGTTTAATGATAGAATATCCGTACATGAACGTACTGTGCCCAAAATTCGTAAATCTACGGATTAATCCGTGGTTCTTGCAACGCTGTCTCCGACAACCACCTACTCTGTCAATTGAAAGCAGAACTACGGTAACTAAGGTACACTGTTCTGTATCTGCTGCGCTGTAAACGACTATCAGCGCACAGCAGCGCAGAGCTAAACTAAACCTCGGACAGGTTGTCTAACGGTTACGGTATCGCCAGCTACATTTTGGACAGGTTTTGTGCCACGAAATCGCCTGTAAAGTTGCGCATCTTCTTACTTCTTCAATCAACAGTTGTAGTCTCAAGTCTGTCTCTGGTGACACTAAAGAACAAAAATGAGAGTTGTACTAGGTACCTCCTAAATAGTGATGACGCTTTGGAACAGGATCTGTTATTTTCAAAACAGGTTTGTTTTGGAACTGGCTTGGAACAGGTTTATGTGCTATCCTATACCAGTTCCAGTTCCAACTGTTCCAGCTGTTTCAAAACACTGCAACTTAAATTAAATACTTAAAGAAATAAATTCTTGGAATTGTTTAAATTATTTTATCTACTATATTTGTGATACTAGATTCTTAATAGTGTATTTTTCAAAATGAGATAATTATATATTATATTGCATTTGGCAACATCGCCAACTATAACTAGATGGAAAGTATAATAATTTGCTAACAAAAAAACAGGGAAGTAAAAATATTTTATATATTAAACATAATATTAATATTACTATAAATAGGTATATAAATTATATGTTATAAAAACTATGTAGGTACATAAATTAATTGAAAATAAAACATTACAGTACATTTATACTAAAATATAACTGAAGAAAAGTTAATGTGTAATCTCCTTCTAATGTATGTTCTATCAATAGCATGGTGTAGTTAAATATACAGGGCTCTAACTCACTGACGACCAGGTCGCAACGACCTGGCCGGATGCATTGCGTTTATAGCTGCGGCCAGATGAACGACCAGTTTCAACAAAGTTGTCAGATCTAACGATTTTTTACGTTTTACCAATTAGAAAATATTGTTTCCGAAATGTTATAATATCCGAGTTAACTAAAAAGCGAAGTTGCTATTCATGAACTTATTAAATGTTCTAATATTAAATAATGCATTTAAAATATTCTTGGATTTTTCGTTAATAAATACTGATGTGGTAAATGGAGTAAGTAAAATCTCCAACCCCGACTAAGTAAAATTCGTTAATAAATACTGGTGTGGTAAATGGAGCAAGTAAAATCTCCAACCCCGTTATTTCCATGTTTTTCAAATTCGCGATGCCTGCTATTCCATCAGTCGTTTCATAACAGAATATTCTACATCCTACGTCTATGTAATTTAATATGTGTAGAGTGAGACATGTAACTCGAGAGATTTTCAGCATTATATCAATAAAGGACAAAAACAGTATTGTTCCTAAAGGTGCGTCCAGACTTCAGCATTTTAGCCCGAACGAACCGAGCGCGCACGAACAAGCAGAACAAATAGGCCGAACAAAAAGCATTTTGTACGCGCGACCCATAAAAATGGAGATATCTGTTTCTTTTTTCTACTGATATGGACTTCTACTGATGGCTCTTATCGACTTTACAGGTAAACATATTAGGGCCATCGTAAAAAAGGTCGTCAGACACTGGCTCTAAATATAAGCAGGTAGAAAGTTTAGCTTCCAGTTATTTCGATGTTTACAATATAAATTCCTCTTTTTTATTGTTACTGAGAATCTACAACAGTAATTACTTCTATTTTTATGAATGTTTAAGTTACTTTTACTCTTAATTTTTTGAAAAATAATGTACCTAGTAGAAATATAGTCTAATGAACCCTGTTTGAAAAACCTTAAATTAAATATAATATTTAAAATACAGTTGTATATGACTACAATACAACTAAAAAAACTAATTTAATAAAAAAAAAACAAGTGGTTGTAGAAAAACTTCGAATATTATTTCTTTTTTACATCGAAACTCGAAGGTATAATAACAGGTATCATACCAACCATAAATAGAGTAGGTTTGTCATATAAAAATGTTTTGAATTTTTACTAGAATCGACCCTTGATAAAAAAGGGACTAGATTTAAGTTTCCCTTTGATCCAGTCTGTAGGTATACTATTTCTTTAGATTTTCTGCACGTGTGCAAAAACTACACTAAAACACTATATATTAGAGAAAATAAAATAATGTGCGTTGAATTCGAGGGATTTCATCTGAAAAATTATTAATTTGGAAGAAAACCGGCAACAAGCGGCAGAAAATAATAATATTTTAGTGCAGCCTACTGGTCGCAACGACCAACGGACGGCCAGGACGTTAGTGTGCGCTATATCATTTGATTTAATGGTTTTAGAGGTAGCTGCGGCCTGGCCGGTGCGACCTGGTCGTCAGTGTGTTCGAGCCCTAAGGTACAATTTAACTACATTCTTTTTCTGTATCTGAGATACGGAACCGGCAACGAAGGAGTATCCGGGATACAGAATTATCATAGTAGCTTATGGACCTGTTCAGACTTACATACTTTTGCAATACAAAAAGTTAGTTCGATTTCACAGACGAACAGAATATTTATTGTAGGTTTAAAAATAATAATTCAGTAGTAAGAGTGAGTTCAAACAATAAAGAAGAGAACCATGAATCGTGCCGCTTTCGACAATTTAAAAATTTATAAGCTTGGTAGAGCCAAATTCTTGCGACCTGGTCGTCAGTGTGTTCGAGCCCTAGGGTGAGTCTTAAATAAGTGCAAATATTTTCAGGGCCGGTAGATCCCGATAAGACATATACATTTTTTTACCATTTTTCAAATAAGTCCAAAATAACCGAGTTATTTTTCTTCCAAGAAAATTTCCAAAAGAAATCATTTTTCACTTAAATTTTAAAAAGCGTTTGATCTTTTCTGGGTTTTCTTTCTTGTAAATTTAATCTACTACCTGTGTTGGTATATTATGAAGATATTATATTTTTTAACTAAAAATTAAAAAAAATTCCAAAATTTTTTTCAAAAAATTCTAAATTCCAAAATTTTTTTTCGCGATATAACATCATAGACGTATTTCTGGCGTCTAAATATACCACCCCTGAAAATATTTGCACTTATTTAAGACTCACCCTGTATATAATACATACCTTCACACAATCTATTAATTATCTATTAAAAAAACATATATTAAAACTTTTTTTTTATCTAATTTTGTTCAAATCTGAAAGTTTCAAAAAATATTTAAAGAAATAGTTTTTCAAACGTTTTCAACTCTTGGTACTTCCAATCTAACCTGAACCAGCTGATAATTTGCTTATATTAAATAGAACCACCTATTGTTATTGTATATGGAACCACCAATGCTATATACTTAGATTTCAACAATGGAAAAACATTGAATTAAGGGATAAATAATATTATAAACTAATATTATAACAAAGATTTTGGGATTTTTCTCTCTTCGACAGGATCTCCATAGCGATTGACTCGTGGGCATGTAAATACGACCCAAGACTGTCGCTTGCCGATATGGTATAGGCAGTTCCATTTAAAATAAGCAAATTCTCAGCTACTTGGTAGTGCAGTATTTTAGAAATAAAATAAAAAAATTGTATTTAGCATCTTAGTTAACAACCACCTGCCTCATTTCAAAAGAAAATAATATATGTTAAGAAGGTGCTTAAAATTACAGCTACTAAACTACTGGATTGACTATTTTCCGCTCCGTTGCATAATGACTTGGTGCATGCGCAGTATAGTAGTTCAACATCTTTCGTGCCACTTACTTTATGACAATTCTTGTTATCTCGAATGTCCCTGATATATCCGCACTCTCGAATGACCCTTTTGCGCATGTTAACTAAAATAGATAAATTACATTTTATAATCAATATTTCTATATTAATAATAATAACAATGTTAATTTATTTGACTATTATTTCATTTTTTTAAGCTACGAAGGTGAATCCTGAATATTGATTTAAGTATAGGTATAGAAAAGAAGAAAGAATTCATTGGGCAAGCCCACAGTAAGATATATATATATATATATATATATATATATATATATATATATATATATATATACACATCGGAACAATTCAGAAGTGTGGTCTGGATTTTAACGTGTAAGACAAAGAATAATATAAATGACCGATTGACAGACAGAGAGACAGCATCAAAAGGGACCGGTGAGGGGCCGGTGCGACCGATACAGTGTTGCCGGTATTTACGGGTGTGGGCAAGGTAAAGCATAAGTATGGTGTGGTACACATTGAGAGATTGGTGCTTTATGTTAAGGTTCGTATTGACTATCTGAAAGAACAAAGGAATGAAATTCGGTATATTTGGACAGCAAACCGAATGCATGCGGCCGTTCGCCATTCGGTTCGCTCCATCATCCGTTTCCAGTCGGTATATCAGAGACGTTCGTAAACGAATGAGAATTATATAAAAAATTATAATACCGCATCATACTCACTATGCGTGTATGAACGCATGGATGCATCAAATCAGCGCATATTGAGTATGGGGCTTAAGAAGCAGCGTGGTAAAGGCGTTGTTCCACTGTTCCCATCTTAAACTTTGTCAGTTGTCATAAAAAGATTCTTATTAAAATTCTAATAAATTAAATTCTATAGAATTCATAGCAAAACTTTTAAACTAAAATTGGCTGCAATACTAAATCTAAATGGAAATAAAATATTAGTACGCATATGACTCAAGAGTTTGATGGGTCACACGTGGCGACAGAAATGCATGCATGGCTTCCAAATTTTAGAGAGCGGGATGAGACCAATCAGCTAAGACAAATCAAGTGGTGGGAAAGAATATGGCCGTAGATGCCAGGTCTAGGAAATATTCCCTAACATTAAGGTTTCTATCGAGGAAATACATTTTTAGAAAGCATATTTTGGACACAATTTAGTGTGTGTATTTAATTTGTTTTCTCAAACTTGGCATTTCTAAAAGTATCATCAGATAAATATTTTAAAAGAATGTTTTTTGTCGGTAGATTGACCGTGCCAACCAGGCTTCAGGAAATTTTCAAAACTTCATCTGGCAACACTGACAGTATCGAAGTCGTAGAACGGTAGACATACTTTGACACATTTATCAAATCAGTCGGATTTTGAAAGGGGTTGGGTGTACGTCATTCTACAATATATTTACGATTTTGAAGGTTATCCATACATCTCGAGACGTTTAATCTTTTAACAATAAAAATAATTAAACGTCCGGTTGTATCTACACTGTTCATGTTTTTGTTGCTGTTTCAACATAAGTTAAAACAAGCATTAAAAAAATGACTAAAAATCAACTTTAAAAAAGGACAATTAGCAAAATAATTATAAAAAAATTAAATCAAAGGTTCAAAAATACCTCCCTGTTGTGCTTCGCAATAGCCAAGACGGTTATAAAACTCTGACCTAACTTTAACTAACATAACAGCGGGGATATTTTCTAACGACTGAATGATTTTTAATCGCAGCTCGTCAATATTCATGGGTCGTTCATGGTTATGCCCATAAATGGAATTTTTTACATATCCCCACAGAAAGAAGTCATTGGGCGACAAATCAGGAGAACGTGGTGGCCAATTAATTGTGCCTTGTGTGGAAATTAGCCGATTGGGAAATGTGGTTTGAAGGAACAGATTTACGTACCGCGCGTTATGCGCAGGACAGCCATCCTGCTGAAACCACACTTCCCCAAAATTGATTGGCAAATTTCGAACTGCTGGTACAATTTGGTTTAGTAGCATATCCAAATATTTGGCAGCTGTTAACATACCATCAATAAAAAAAGGCCCTATGATATGATTTTGCAGCATGCCAGCACAAACATTTAGTTTTTGTGGATATTGTGTCCGCAGTGCCATACTAAGGTGCTTATTTTCTCAAGACCAATAACGTACTATCAAAGGATTGTGGTAGCCATGCAAAGGAAACGAGCTTTCATCTGAGAATAATATATTTTCCAAAAATAAATTATTCCGATCGGCTCTTTCTCTTACAGCCTCGCAAAACTCCGGACGTCTGTTACAATCTGCGGGAAAAATTTCTTGCGTGGTACTGATTTTGTAGGACTTATATCCATGCTTTTTTAAAACCCTGCGCACCGTTCGAGCATTGCAAACAACTTGTTCGGCTATATTTCGGCTTGAACAAGGTTCGCAAATACTAATTTCCTTGTCGGGAATCACTGCGCCTTCCTGATTGTCACAATTTCTGCACGCCGCAATGCAGCCTGTTTGTTCAAATTTATGGACAATGTTGCGTACAGTTGTGGCACAAGGCACAGGGCGATCTTGAAAGGTGAACACAAAACGCCCAATGACCTCTTCCACACTTGAGGAAATGTAAAACCATTTAACGATATGCACCTTCTCTTCGGTCGTATAAATAGCCAGTTTTGAAACACTTAACATACACACCGAAACAGCTAGGCGAAAAGAATGATGCAAAAATAGTTTGGATCTCAGGTGATCTATTTCTTTTCCCCACCCTTTCATCTACATAAAGGTGCGTATTCACTATCCGAACGAACGAATGCTACTATCCAACGAGCGAACGTCCAGTCTTGTTCGCGCGGTTCTATAATTCTCATTCGTTTGCGAACGTCTCAACCGGTCAGCCAAATCAACCGGTCATTATTCTTCATATTCATCAGTATATTATTCTCTGTCTTACACGTTAAAATCCAGACCATACTTCTGAATTGTCCCGATGTGTATATATGAAATATATACACATTCACTTCGGCCACACACCCGCTTTACCCGACCGCTGAGAGCGACCCGAACAGTACAGCGTAATAGTAGTACAGCGTAACCAAACCAAGCCAACTCTCGTCTAAAATTTCAGAGATTAGCGAATACAAAGAAATTTTCTTATATTTACTATACTATATTTAATTCGTAACGTGTCAATTACCTTCTTGAACAATTTTCCGGCAAACAGTGGCTTTAAGTCGTTGATTAGGACCAGTATGGACACCCAACAAATGTTCTGGAGGTTTTATGTCTGTACAGTTCACAATACCACTGGCATAAGGCTCAAAAGGATCTACACATCTAGAATCGTGTTCTGAATTACATTCATAGCACTGGAGAGGTTTTCCTTTATCAAAATGGCCTTCTGTCGTGTACGTAACTTTGTGAGCTGAATCACAACCTAAAATGAAAAAAGAATGCTACTATAGATTTTATCAAAAATGAACAATATTAAACATCGTTTGAACATGTATTATGCTCATAAAAAATGTTCTTATATTAGTGATAAGAATAGCTCCCGGCTGTATATCGGAAAGTATTAGCCGCATTGGCCTACGGAAAAAATATTTATAACTAAAGAAGCTATGAGAAACTGCTGAAAGTTATTTTCAAGTTTGCAAAACGGCCGCTAGAGGCCGCAACTGCTATGGAAAATAAGAAAATAGAATTCTTAGGAATATTTGCTTAGATAAAGGGTACTATAAATAATAGCTTCATAATCTTCAGTAAATTTTGGGCTTTTTTTGTTAGAACCATTTTCCCCTATCTGCTAAAATAAAGTGGTGGGGGAAGGTTAGATCCGTTGTTGATGATACCACAGATTAGGTATCCTATAAGTATACAGATAAAAATCTTGTCCCTAATTCGTGGTACGAAAATTGTTTTTTATGACGATGAGCAAACGAGTCAAATTTCCTGTGCGCAAAAATAAACTCGCGTAAAATAACAATAAACAGCGTAATAGAGAGATATCGCTAAACCGAATAGCGTGCATGGACGTTAATAAGGCCAGGTGTTATTTCCTTTACGTGAGGTGGTATTAACTCTCTTCATTTATAGTTATCGGATCGGAAAGAATTCTGATCGCGTCGCGTCCGCTATTTAAACTTAACCTAACTTTAAATTTAAAACTTTAAAATTGTTTTGTTTACTAGGTATTTTAAAACTAAAGGGCTAAAGTGCTTATTTCCAGTGCTTTATTGTTCAACGTCTGCCAGTGGGTTTAGGGCAACAAGCAACAAATTCTCTTAGAAGAGCTAAGTCGTCATCTGCTGTAAACCTAAGCCTCTTTATAGGTTCGTTAATATTGGAAGAGGTGGAATCCATATTTTGATATTTATTTAATTAAAACTAATCCCAACTACTTAAATATCAAATTACCTAATAAAACTAAAATAATAATTCAAAACAATTCAAACATAACCTAAAATAAAAGACCTCGCCGGCCGGCCCCGGTTGTCAAATACCAGCACATGCCCATTTAAGCAATTTTTAAACGTTATTTAGAAATGGCGCTTGGTGTAATTGATCTGCAAATTACATCAGGCGGTAACGTTATTAGCGGGTGTTGCGTTAAAAATTGAGTCGCGCATAACGTAACCTAAGATCGTAACTGTGATAAGGTACGCGTATGATACTAACTTGGGAATCAAACTGGACATATACCTAAACATTTATCCTGTTTTAACGTATCCTATTCACTGTTATTAACATCTTAACTATTAGATATTAATACATCTGATATTATGATATTCTGATAAATTGTCGGTTTGAAAATAAACTAATCGTTTCTATCTTATTTTTTATTAGAACCGGCATAATCAAGAGGGTTCAAGAGGGCATAACCAGGAGATATGTTCTATTTCAAAAAATCATCCCAATACACACTAATTTTTTGTAGAAGTTAAAATATTATTCTGAAATACAACTTTGTTTTTAGGTTTTAGTACTTAAACAAAATTCCTAAGTTATTTATTATAGGAGCTACAGATGCCCAAAGCACTATAGGTATATGACATTATTTATTATACCGGGTGCGTCTCAAAAGTGGCTCACCCCTATAACTTTTTTTTATTTTCAGTTAAAAAAACTAGATTTGGTAAGTTAGTCTACGACATAAATTAGGATTGATTTACGTATTCAATTGTTTTCGGTCACTTCCTGTTTCACCGGAAATTACTACAACATTTGATTTTTAAATGGCACCCTCGGTATTTTTTTAATTTATTCGATAGAAAATAACACTCTGAATAGAATGACATATTAAATGTCAACTTTTGACATTTTCGCATATGGTTTATTTGAAATTATAACTTGCGGTTCGTAACGAAAATTTGACTCGAAATACCAAGTGTGTGGTATCATATTATTCGTAAAAAATTGCTGTTTCCAAATATGCTAATGAGCCACCCTCGTTCCGTTTGATGGAATTGGGATATGATTAAAAATACGATTTGAGCATTTTCCAACTGGCCAGGACAAGACACTAAAAGCATTAGACGATCAAATCTATTTTTCCAAGGCTCCTGGATTAAGAATTAGTGTTTTTAACATAGCCATGGCACTCTAGATTGAATTTTAAAATACGATTTTTTATTAAGTGAGAATGTCAAAACTTGATATATGATACGTCATTCTATTCAGAATGTCATTTTCTATGGAATAAAGTATAAAAATACCGAGGCTGCCATTTAAAAATCAAAAGTTGAAGTCATTTCCGGTGAAACAGGAAGTGACAAAAAAACAATTGAATGCGTCAACCAATCCTAATTTATGTCCTATACTAACATACCAAATCTCGTTTTGTTTTTCGTGAACCACTTTTGAGACGCACCCGGTATAGACAAGAAACATCGATTGGCATTTTTTTGGATTTAAGTACTAAATCTTATTAAAACAATTAAAAAAAATCAAAACAATTAAATTATACTACCTTATAAAGAGCTAATTTTATAATGAGTTAAATTTTCAACACAGTAAACAAATTAGAGAATTAACTGTATTATAGTGACAAATCATATTGTTAAAAAGACCGTTTTTGAAAAAATATATTTAACTATTTAAACTCTTTATGAATCATTTTGCACGAATTAGTGGATGACTTCCGTTTTGAACAATATCAAAGATGTGCCGTCAACAGGATGGCGAACCAGCTGACTCCGGTTTCGGGCACTAAGAGTACTTAAATTTAATTTTTCAAAATAAACGACAAAGAGAGAAGGTTCAACTAACTGGCTGACAAGGAACTCAAATCTGGAGTAAGTTTATACAGGGTGTCCCAATATTCCTCGAATATAGGACTAGCACGTATTTTTGGTATCAAAATAAGCTTTTTTTTTAGAGGAGGAATATTGCATAAGAAGGAGTTTCCTACTGACTAAAACCACCTCCCCTTCTCTACGACACATCACACCGGTACCGCTTTCGCATTTCTTCGACGTGAGGACTGTCTACGTATTTCTACAGTTTAGTTTCCTCTTTAGTTTTTATGATTCCTCTTATCACTGTATAGGCCAGAGTCCAGTTTTTTCCTCCTCCTTTCAGGCTATTCAACATAGTTTCTGCTGTAAAAGGAATGCTCATAGCTATATAGTACTGATGTCTTAACACCGACCATCTTGGACATTCGAACAAGGTATGTTGAGCATCATCTAACTCGTTACAGTATACACAGTGGTTTGTTGGTGATTTCGTTCGATTAAATAGATAACTTTTGAAACACCCATGACCCGACAGGGCCTGGCTGGTATAATAATCTACTTCACCATATGGCCTGTCTATCCATTCTCTAATATTAGGAATTAAACTATACGTCCGCCTTCCATACTTGCCGTTGACCCATTCTTCTTGCCATTTTATCCATAGTCTATTTCGAGCTTCAGTTTTCAAAGTTCCTTGGTAGGTTTCAACTCGTTCTTGAACCAAGAGATGAATTGGGGGTATACCCGTTATAACGCGAACAGCCTCTGCAGAAATGGTTCTGTAGGCACTGCTGACTCTTATAGCCCCTGTACGCTGTATACTGTTTATTTTCTGCCTATATTTATTATTTTCCATTGCCTTGTACCATATAGGTGCAGCATATAGAAGTTGAGAGTGAATGACCCCCACTAGAACCCTTCTCTTAGAAGCTCTTGGTTCAGCGGCATTTGGAAGTAGACGCGACAGTACAGCTAATGTTTTGCTTGCTTTGGTTACCGTTTTATCAATGTGCTCGCCAAATTTCATTTTGGTATCAAGCCATACTCCTAAGTATATAATGGTTTTGCTGAGTTTAATTTCTACGTCTTCAAGGTTAAAATGTATTTCTGAAATTTTCCTTTTGGTTGTCAACAAAATTACCTCCATCTTGTGTGGGGCTAATTGAAGTTTATTTTTTTTCATCCAATTTAAGACTCTAATCAAACTAGTGTTGGCAGTGTTCATCAGCGCCTCTTCAGTTTTTGCAACTACCACCATTGCCAGGTCGTCCGCAAATCCAATGAGTTTGGTACCCTCAGCCATTTTTGTTTCAAGAAGGTCGTCGTATAAAATATTCTACAGGGTGGGACCCAATACCGAGCCCTGTGGTACCCCACTATTAATCTCCACAGTTTTAACCTGGTTATCTGCTTCTAGTATCAACTTCCTGTCTGATAGATATGATGCGATAAGTCCCATTAATCTCTTCTCGATGCCTCTCTTTTTTAATCTATCCTTTTTTAATCTATATTTACTTGAATTTACCTCAATTCAAAAGTGCCCCGTTTGTCCGTTAGAGGGTATCAATAAGCTTTAAACAAATAAACACATTTTTTGAGATATTTCAAGAACCATATTGAAAGCTGGTTTATAGGTTAAAGAAAGACGACATATTCGATCTGTCTAAATCAACCAACTGGATATTAGGTACAAAAGAAACATTTATTTCCGTTCGTTATAAAATCTTTCATATTTTAAATTCAACCCTATACATAATTTTTAAAAAATCAAAAGACCAATAAAATTGCTTTTTATTGGTGTTTTGATTTTGGTCTATTTAAACCACAGATTATACAGATTATAAACTTTGTTTTTTCTTTATTGTTTTCGTGGCTCCAATTTTCGGAATCGGGCACTAGTTAGGTTACTAGTTTGCGCACATAGCACGCCCACTTATGGCCTCTAAAATTGTGCACAGCGCCTGACCGGCACAGTTATTAGAGAGATATCGGAAAACCGAATAGCGTCATGCAGTATTTACGCGTACCTTATCATGGTTACGATATGCGCGAGTCAATTTTTAACGCAACACCCGCTAATAACGTTACCGCCTTACGTAATTTGCGGATCAATTACACCAAGTTATTTCTAAATAACGTTTAAAATTTGATTAAATGGGCATGTGCGGGTATTTTGACAACCGGGGCCGACCGGCGAGAT